GTTGCTGGAATATTGCTAAAAGCGGCGTAAAACCAAACTCAGTCAGTCAGTCATCTTCCAGATATTGATAACAGAAGTTAGAATCATGAATAGAGGTGGTGGGGTAGCCTAGTGGTTAAAGCGTTGACTCGTCATGACAGACCCAGGTTCAATTCCCAACATGGTACAATGTTTGAAGCCCATTTCTGGTGTTCCCCGCTGTGATTTTGCTGGAATAATGCTAAAAGCGGCGTAAAACTAAATTCACTCACTCACTAACATTATGAACAAGTTTGTGTTCCATTCATTTAAATATTTGACAGTGAAGATATATACAGTTGCTGTTGCCATGGTTACAGTCTCTAGAGTGAATGCTGCAGGAACTAGGACTTAATTATGCTGAGAATAATGTGTTGCATGAAATTGGGCTCATTTGTGTAATAATACATATTTGGGATGGAGGTCGTGTCATCTACACTGGATTCCTGCATAATGTGACACATGGATGGGTCTCTCCGTAATATGAAAAGTGGCTAATCATTTTATTTTCCATATTTATGGTCCTGAGACTTTAGTTGAAGTAATGTTTGTTTGTTGTTTAACGCCACACTCAGCAGTCCAATGATCAACAGCATGAGCATCGATCTATGCAATGGTTGAAGTAATTAAGAAGTTTATATGGGACTTTCCATTTCATTTCTTGGATATGTAATTTATGCTAAATAGACATTGATGACTTAAATTGTCATATAAATATTGGGTCATTAGTATTGACATATGCAGTTGTTGATTTATATTTTTTCATTGTGTAAAACAGTGTTCGAACAGCACCAGCCAGCCAGGCTTGATACTGGTACTCTTTACTAGCCAATTGCAGATTTAAGTAGATACTGTATTATTTAACCCTACCAAGTACAAGGAGAAATCAGGTAGCAGGTAATGATAATTTGATTAAAGTTTCAACAAGGGTAGAGCCTTATTCTTAGTCAGTATGTATAATTCAGCAGAGTGAAACGCAAAGTGCTTAGACAGCTCGATACATACATGGTCCTATTCAGCCCAAGAAAAGTATTTTCTATTAGTTGGTTCAACTGAATAAATACAAATATAACTTTCTTCAAAGAACTAGTTTGTTTTTTTATTTATTTTAGGTTTTTAGGTGTATCTTTGGATAGAACTTTAAGCCAGCCATTTGTGCTATCTTTAGCCTGAAACTAAAGAAAAGAAAGCAGCCATGGGCTACAGTTTAGGACTTATTTTCACAGTTACACCATCACTGAAAGTTGGGCCCTACATTTCGAAGCTCTCTTAGCTTAAGATAGTCATAGTTAATGTGCTATGGCCTAGTTTATCATTTTAAGATAGCTAGAGCAATTTGTATTATATTCATGAATACACAGCATTGTTGATCCAAATTGTTATGCAAATATGTCAGTATATATGACAGGTACTAACATGTACCTAATCTACTGGCAACCTGTGGGAATCAAATGGGCACATAATTTAGGTGCATTCACTGAATGATTCAGTAGTTTCAGTAATCTTCCTGCTCTACTGCTCTTTGTGGTGTGAGAAAGCTTTTGTGGTGTGAGAAATTTTTTTTCTGTGCTCAGACATGTTATGAATAACAGATTTACCCTCACAATGTCTTGGTGAGAAAACAAGATGGATGCATATTATGTGAATATAAAGAGAGTGATTTATATTGTTTGGTTTTCTTCATTCTGTATTTAATTCCATGGTTAGGAAATTTTGTTGTCTTCTGAAATATGGGAATTTTGGGAAACAATTTTATTTTAGAATATTCAAGATAGTGGGCAGGTGGCTGCTTAGGATTGAATTGAACTTCAAAGGATGCTATGGTTACTTTGTTGTTATTCCTTTATTGATGTGGTTGCAATTAAGCATTTTGTACTTCCAAGTACTTCGATACTGTGGTTCCCTAGTCCTGCACCATGAATATGGAATATATGCATTATTTGAAAACCAAACCTGTCTTGGTTATTAAAAAGTATACCTAACCAGCTCTCTTCAGCAACAGACAAAAACATAGTTAGATTTTAGTGACTATACCTAAATAACCTTTGTCCCAAAATATTCATTATAGTGCTGTTGTTGATCATTGGATGTCAATCTCAACGGCACATGAAGTTTTGTTCCTTGTTTGACAAGATACATTATGCTTCAGTCAAGATGTGGTTGTGACCAAGAAAGGAATTTCATTGTGACATATTCAGGTCATGTGTTACTGCAGGTGTTTTAGCCTTTTATAGATTCTTTAAATTGAACCCAAACATTTTTTCTTGAAGTCGCCTTTGCTATATTTTGTTATTGGGGTGGCAGGTTTGCTGATGATACAGGACAGTGGCAACTGAACTGGTCAAGGCTAAACTTTTCTTGTCCCATCATTGCTAATAATAGATCTACGACTTTATATGTCTCCTATTTTCGATCAGTCACCTTGATAGTGATTTTCACAGAGTCCATCAACCTGAAATATACTTGTCCCAGTTGTATACTATTTGCCAATATCTGGTACATATTAGAGAACTAAAACAAACTGTTTGAAGCCAGAAAGGTGTGTTTCTTCATTTCACTTGTTAGGCCAGACCATTTTTATTTCTTGTTTTATGGATCCGCCGGTCATATTTTTTCAAGAAAAAGAAAAAAAATATAAATTTATTTTCCCAACTCAAAAAATAAAATTGTATTGTTTATATTGGCCAAAAATGTAAACTTACAAAAAAGTTTGTTTGTTTTTTTAATTGTTTTTTTGCCCCATACACACTTCATAAATTGCCAAAAGTAAAACACTTTCAGTATTTAGAAGGAATATTACTGTGACTGGTGATTTTAGTTTTATTTTTTTCCCTCCTGCCTTCAGGTTTCTGAGGACAAAAATCCGTAAAACAAGAAATAAAATTGGTCCGGCCTTATTGACAATTTTCAGTTCTTATCAGTTCTGTGACGATTTCAGTTCTGCATATTTCAAAGGTCCATTAACAAACATACCTATCAGATCTAAAGTCTGACCCAGCTGTTTCATCGAATAGGCATCCCTTCATCCATAAAATAAATTAAGTTATCCATTATGATTTGAAACTGAAGATCAACAGATTATTGCTCAAGTTGAAAACATCTGTCACAGGGGAGGTAAAATGTCATGGAATTATGTTTAACTTTCTACAATCTGGGACCATGTCCAGTTCTTACAAACTTTTTACAAGCCCAAGCTTAGCAGTATAAAGTTCATGTTTTATACTGATTCATACAAGGTGGTTGTCAATAGTGTTGCAGTCTTAATGTTCTATCTATGGTGCGATGCCGTAGTGGTTAAACCGTTCACTTGTCACGCCGAAGACCCAGGTACGGTACGTATTGCAGTACAAGGCCTTCGGTTTGGTATATGAGAACTTACTTCTGGGAAAATAGCATCCGTCTAGCAAAGACATGCATAGATTTTGACAAAATGATTTGATTTCCAGACATTTTAGAAAAGGTTTAAAAAGGTTAATAAAATGACAGTACAAAAACCGAAAATAACAAATTTTTGGATTGCATTACGGTATACCGAACCGAAGGCAAAATACCTTTTTGCCCCTAGTGTAAAGCCATTTCCTGGTGTACCCCACTGTTTTATAGCTAGAATATTGCTAAAAGTGGCATAAAACTAAACTGACTCACTCAGTTAATGTTAACTAGCCTAAGCATGTCTGTAACAATCCAGTATTTATGTGACAGCTTCATCAGTACTGCAGTGTTGTCAGCAGAGATACATTTGGTTTAGGATGTTGCACATTAGTAGTGACAATACATACTGTTTCTCCATGTTCACAGTGGTGTAAAACTGAACTCACTCACTCACACACGTTCACATGAAAACCATCATGTCAGGTAATTGGAATATATTTGAGCAAGGTTGAACAATACAAAATGACTAATCATGTTAATGGTTCGGAAAGTATGAAAGTATGAAAGCGCCCAAGCTTGGCAGTCCCAGCCTGTTGCCTTTCATACACCCAATAGTCATTATTACAATAGAATCAGTTCTGGTGAGGGTCATTTCTTGACATAAGTTGACCTCTGACCTGGGGTTAAGCTGGGTCAGTATGACCTAGCAACAGCTCCTACCTGACAACACATAGTGTATGTAAATACAAGTCAGCTGATGTGGGCTGATACCAGGCTGCCACATACATCCATGTAAGTCTCCCGTTGCACTTACTAAGCGTACATAAGTGCCATGCATCCATATCTGAGAGAGATTTTTCTTTTACTGCTTTAGTGTGTATGTGAGATCTTCAAACTGTATCATTGGTTGTGTTCCAAGTGTTGGTTCTCATCCCCCAGTATGTCCCTCTTGGATATCCCTCCTTCCCCCCATACAGCTGGTATGTGTATCTAGTTACATCCCAGCCACTGCTTCCTCCTCCTCATTATAACACCAACATCCATCCCCTCACTATAAAGCAGATCTACACTACATGGATTACCCCAGTCCGAAAAGTTAATAGTGTAAGTATGAAGGCCAGCTCTTTGTGAGTTAATAAATGAGTTGTCCAGAGCATCCTGTGAATGGTGTCCCTGTCAATTTGCTATAATGTTTACGAGGGATGTTGTTGATTCCCAGCATATGTGGGCTGTCCCAGTGGACATTATGTCAGTGTGGGTAATAACAGGGTTATTAGTTCAAGCTGAATTGAAATCAGCTTTACCTACTGCATTGTCAGTGATGGGTCAGTTAAAGGTCATTGTAGTGGGTGAACAGCTAACAACACCATAAAGGTTCACAATTACAAACTTGGGATTGTACATAAGACCGGGTTGTTTGATCCAAGCAGCAGCTTCTTGGTATATTTGCATCATTGTAGTGCTGCTTGCCCATGATAAGGGCTTGCCGGTGGTGGTATCACTTTCACCACTTACACTGGCTGCCTGCATCCATTTCTTTTCTTCTATTCCATACATGCTTCTTGTCAGAGGGGCTGTCTACCTGCGTGAATTGTACAGTGACTGGAGTCTGCTGCTGGGCTTGTAATTGTCTGTTAGCTAATGGTTCAACAGTCACAGCCAGCACACAGATGGTATTCAGATAGTGCATGGTATCTCCCCATACTGAAGCATTGGGCAGAGTGCCCAGGTTTTGACTAGTACACCAACACAAGGCACAGCAGCAGGAGTAGGTTAGGGACAGCATGCAGCGTACAGGTGCCCTGCTGTGTGAGGAACAGAACTTGGTGGACCAGAGCCAGATGTGAAATGGTCGTACAGAGGATATAGGGACATATTGTGGATAGAGCATACCCTGACGGTTGATATAGCCATATGTAGCTGTGCCTTGTCCAGGATGAACACCTGCTCCAGGGTATAACTCTCTCTGATGTAGTGTGGTACTCAGTACAGTGTTACTGTGTAGAGAATTGTCGACTTGCTCAACCTGACAGGATGGTGTAGATATGTAAACATTGGTACAGACCCCAGGATTGTAGTTCTGTGGATTGTGTTGTGGATTCCTGTTCCGTGGATTGTAGATTGTGACTTAACCAACAAGAGATGATGTGGTAGGTTTTGCATGGGAAATGTCTAACTCCATGGATTGAAGCTGAAATACACCAGTTTCTGGTTGAATGTGTTTCAACTGGGATGTGTAGTTGTAAATTTCGGTATCCAACTCACATCTGTGATTCTGATGGCCTTTCCACTGGCGTGTTTATTGGTAATGTTGTTATATTGAATGTTCTGAATGTACTATACTTCTCAAAAGAATTTAAGGACTCCCTGACTTTTGAATTCCCAATAGAGACACAGTCAAATCCTGTTGTTTTGAACTCAGAGGGAGCAGATAAATAGTTGGAATTATATGATGTTCTAAACATCTAAACCACATTTGCCATCAGACCTGGCCATGAGACATCAGAAAGCAAAGGTTTAACATGCTGTATGTTTAGGTAAACATTTCTATAGTAAGAAACACAAACAAGCATTGTTGATATCTACATTTATGCATCTATATGCTTGTATATTACATATAAATTCTAAAGTGTGTTTGTGCTAAGCAGTGCTTTTAAAAGATTTGTTGACTTGTAAGCTGAAGCTTATTTTGAACTCTTTGGACAAATAATTCGGTTCTTGACAGCCAGGAACTGGCACTTTGAGTTCATATCTTGGGCCTAGATTTTAGAAGCTCTCTTAGAGCTAAGATAGTCGTAAGTTAATGTTAGTGTATGGCACTTACAACTATCTTAGCCCTAAGAGAGCTTTGAAAATTTAGGCACAGATTATTAAATAGGGTTGGCTATCAACATAGATCATAGAGTTACAGAAATGTCAACAAAGTATCAATCGATTATCAATAAATATTGGTGAAGTTAGTTTGAGCAAAAGTGCCTAAAAAGTTGGAAAGAAATTATCATATTTTACGTAACTGGTTAATGGTGATATGTTTGTGCATGGATTACCAACAAAACAGCATCCTGAACATAATATAGAAGCAGTCCATAAATAAAGATGTATCTTTGTGTGTTGTGTGAGTAAATAAACACTATGTTTCATTACAATTTATGTACGCAAGTTTTCAGACTAATAATCATTTATAATTCTTCTCATCGCTGATTTTTCCTATTATCAATCTTTTTAGCCAGCCCTAGTTAAAATAGTGCTGAATATAGTAAGAGTCTGTAGGGATTGGACTGTGAGTTCAAGAGAACCAGAAATTCCAAACATCTGAGTCAATCAACCTGTTACAATTATTATAACCAATAACAGTTTATGAAAAAGGTGGACTTATTCAGGTTAGTTATGTTCCAGGATTGATGACACAGACTGAAATCACTGAATATGTCCTTGTGAGGGAAATGAATATTTTATCAGGTATCCATTTTGGTATTTTGTGAACAGATGAATCCTTGAAATACATTACATACTAAATGCCTGCCTGATGCTTGCCAGATTTGATTCAAGCTGTGACCTATGAAAGTAGTGTTGCTATGCTCCCTGTTTTAGTGCTTCAAATGAATATTTTAGTCAAATGCTGGTTGATAAGTTGTTAGTATGCCAGTCCACTTTGTAACCTGATTTCGTACAGTGGAAGTTTCGAGTGGTAAATGGCTGAATTAATCTGTTCTAGAACTGCAAGGTACACATTTGACAAGCAAGGCCATCTGTACAGAGAAACTGTTTAGAGAAACTGTTTCCACTCTGTGTACATGGTGCTCCACTTGGCAGGAACCCGAGATGAGTTTATCTGATGTAGCTGGAACATTTATCTATAGGTGTCACATCGCTTGACTCATGTATTGATACATATTGTGCTGGCTGAGTCATACCATATTCACCTTAATAAATGACCTGGAAACTAATGTTTACAGATGGTGGGCAGTTATTAAAACCATAAACTGAGTTCAATTTGTTTTCAGAGATCGAGCACAGGTGAACAATAAACTTGCTTCAGTAGTTGATAAAAGTTAATAGTTACTTCGATAATAGTTACTTCACATTTATATGCTCCTTCTGTGCTGCTGTTTTCTGTAGACAAATCTGTGAAATAACAGAAAATACAGACTCTTGTAATTTTTAGTCTTAGGGGGAACACATCATATATAGAGTACTATCAGATTTGTGTGTGTAGAACATTTATCACTGGTTTGTACTGATAGACCTATACGAGGGTTATTACACAATGAATACAGTCATGCCATGAATTGATACATTGGCACAGTTGGTTATGGTTATGGGTGTTGTTATTTTATCTTCAGGTTATACATTGGTGAATCATGCTAGCACTGTTCAAAAGAATTGTTGAGTGACAATCCTAGATGCTTATTTATGTAGTTTATTCAGGTCCATATGTTCGTTAATTGGATTCTAATAGTTTTAGTAAATTGGAATAATGACAAAACAGGTGAATGTGTGAAATTCTTCTGTTTAGCAGTGTAAACTGTCCCAACCACAGTCCTGCTCTGGCACATGTTCTTAACCTCATCTGGGAAAACCCAAGCCCATGTGAGATTATTTCATAGGGTGTTGTCTTTATTTATTAGAACCATGCTTTTCTCATCAACATTTTTCCTCCTCTGAAACTGCCAGACAAATGAATCTGAACCTCGTCATAAATGTTTCCACAATGACAATACCATGTGTGATTCGTTTATAGTTATGTTTTTGCAAAAATGCTTAAAATATTTTAGTCTTGAAAACAACATGAGGATGATAAACCTTGAATTTGGTACACATGTTGTTCATAATGATTTCACTCTAAATACAAGCAAATATATGAAACAAGTGGTATAGATAGTCACAGGAGTCTTCATTAGTCTGTCTCACAGTCACTGAACCACATTATATTCCCTAATGCCTTGCCCTCCCTGCAGTGCTAAAGTCCTAAATGAAGCAAGTCTAGATTTCCCTGAAATTCCCAACTCACTGGGGCTCCTCTTCAATTTAAATGGGTTTATTTGTTATTATCATAATGGTATATACTCATGGACCTAGCGTAAGTCTCAAGTTTTCCTATGTTAGGTAACAGTCCTGCAGTGTTGTGGCTGACAGTGATGAGGTTGATTACCCACTGTCAGTGGTTCTCTATACATATGGTGAATACATTCTTTATCATGTTCATGCACTTCATCCCCAAGCCTGCATCATCTTATGGATGTTATATTGGGTCGTAGTTTTTGCTGTCACCTAATAGGCCACAAATCATTTAGCAGAAATGCATCCTTAACAAATGGTGGGATTGGACTAAATCTTAGTTTCTGAATATTTGTAAATTTTGATAGTAACAAATAAACCTATTTCAATTGAAAAGGAGCCCCAGTCAGATGGGAAATTCAGAACCGGAGGAAATCTTGACTTGCTTCATTTTGGGCTTCAGCTTTGAGGGGAGGGCTTGGCAATAAGGGACATAATGTGGTTCAGGGACTGTGAGACAGACTATGGGCAGAATCAGTGCTTGTGGATTGACTTCCCTGTTGGCTATAATTATGTTTCTAGGTCTGTCACAAACATGTCCATGTTTGGCCAAAGTGACAGGCATGCACCAGCACATTAAACTGACATGCCATGGTATAGCTGAAATACTCATCAACAATCAATGTCAAGAAACATGGCTGTGACAAGGACCTCCGTCATGTTTCATTCCAATCACTGAAGATGTAATGACATACCAAAATATCCATGCCCTGTTCCAGTAACTCCCTCCGGACCAACTTTTAGACCAATCTGTATAATGAATCTAAAAAAGTGAAATGTTGAATAGAGCTATTTGGTTCTGTGTTAGACCATTTTCAAATTAAGAAGATTTCAAAACCCATTTGGGTAGTGTTCACTAAGTACTGGTAAATACTGCCTTCCAACTGATGAACAGGGTCTCTTTTCACAAAGCCATCGTAACGTTTCGACTGTCATAATTCCTATTATTTAACATAGACTTACGGCAGTCGTAGTGCTGTGATGGCTTTGTGAAATGTGGGTCAGCTCTGTCTGAACACTCAGTGTATCGGTATTCTAGTTCATCTATGTTGGTATTGAAAATTTGTCCATACTCTAGTTCGCAGCAGGTAATTGAGCAATATTTTCAATTAACTGAGCAAATTCCTAAATATTTGCCCAGCTTGTGAGGATAAACAAGAAACTTGTTATTTTTTTAGTATTTTTTTCTATATTTATGTGTAAAAATATTGATACTGTGGCACCTGTTCTTCGTATTCCAGACATGGCTATAATAACAACAGTAGCTGGTAACAATGTAACATTGAACTTTTATATAACTACTGGAAATAATTAATACCAGAATGGTATTCAAAAACTGGTTTGTGGGCTTGAATGTGGTTGTAGTGTTATGTACAAGCAGTTGTTCTGACTAGGAAATTAAATGAGAATGTTCTAATTAAAATTTGCATTAAAGAATTCTTGAAAAGGTTAACCTTGAAAACTAAAGTATTATGATTGACCTGAAAAGGCATTAAGAAAAAGATTCACAACCTTGCAGGGATAAATTCTGTAATCTAAACAAAATATGCCAATCTTTGACACATGGTTCAGATCAGTATGTTTTCCAGAACAGTAACTTAATGTCATCCAAACTGTTCAGACTTTAACTATTTGTTAATGTCCAATCAAGAGTTGATGAAATCATGAAAACTTGTATGTTACTTGTTGTGGCAACAGTAGATATTGTGATGGACTCAGCAATCAGAGTTATCAGAAGCATTAGTGACAATATACACCAAGCAGAGCTCCAGATAAGATTTAGCTCATGTGGGTACTGTACCCACTGTATTTTTTGGGGAGTGGGTATTTCATTTTCCGTTACCCACTGCTTTCAAATATGTGCGTATTTCAGTCATTTTACTCACCTAAGTATTATGTCATTGAGTAAGTTTACTAAGCAGGTATGTTCTGCCTTATGTCATACCTAATCAAAACCAACTTAAATATAATGGAAATGATTTCATAAAGAATCACTTATCCTGTACTGACAGTACAACACTATTCCTATACTAACAGTACAACTTGATAGCAATCGATGTCTTTTTCATTACGAAAGCGATTTTATAAATATATTCCATACGCATTTGTTTTAAACTTTTTGCGTATCTAACATTTTAAATGCGTAATTGGTACACAACAATTATTTTGTTAGAATGAAATTAGTGGTAGTGCTCTTTTCTGGAGCAGAACTCTAAAACCGTTCACTATTTCTTCACCCAACTTGGCACATAGATAGATCTGGTGGTGTACTGGTGCCTTTTGGTAGTTTTGGAATTCTGAATAAAATATTTTTGGCTTTCCGTGGTAACAAGTTTGACTTAGCCTGAAATTGGTGGTAGTGCTCTTTTCCAGAGCTTAACTCTAAAACCGTTCACTATTTCTTCACCAAACTTGACACATAGATTGGTCTGGTGGTGTACTGGTTCCTTTTTGGTAGTTTTGGAATTTTGAATAAAATATTTTTGGCATTTCCATGGCAATAAATTTGACTAAAACAGAAATTAGTGGTAGTGCACTTTTCGGGAGAAGAACTCTACAACCGTTCAATGTTTCTTCACCAAACTTGGCACATAGATGGATCTGGTGGTGTACTTGTGCCTTTTGTTAGTTTTGGATATCTGAATAAAATGTTTTTTGCATTTCCATGGCAACAAGTTTGACATAGACTGAAATTGGGGATAGTGATCCTTTCTGGAGCAGAACTTTAAAACCTTTCAATACTCTTCTTCCACTTTTCTATATACACACCTAAATATTTGACATAATCATAACTTCGTAGACATAATCATGAAGAGTATTTTGCCATTGAGGGGGATATTGATGACTTTGTCTTCTTGTTGGAAATTTTCTATGCGTATTTTACCCTGATACGCAGCTTATCTGGGCCTCTGCACCAAGTAATGACATTATTGACAACTGTTACCACAATCTTCATTCCAATTAGATTGTAGCATGGAAAATACAAAGTTAAAATATGTGCATATGCACAATAATGTTGTTTTAGTCAAAAACCAGAGAGTGAGGTGAAAATCATGTGAATTTGTATTCAGCATGTGATGACAGAAACATTTTCACAGACAGCTTTTAGTTTCAGGTAGATGCACATATTATGATGATGTCATAGAAGAAAAATACACATTTTATATCATCAGAGATTAATACACATGTAATGATGATGTCATTGGAAAATACTCATATGATGACATCATAGACAAACACATTGAAGGTATTGACATCAGGCCAGTACACACAAAATGATGACATCATAAACATTCACCCACACAAAATGGTGACATCATACACAATTCACAAAATTTGATTGTCTTATCATTTCTCAGTTCACTTACTACAATTGTATTACACAGTACAGTTCAACATGTAGAGAAACTCCATTGAATGCAGAACCTTCCCTAGGTTTCCTTCCCATCATGGGAAGGAGATCATGGTTCTTTTAAAAATACAAAAATTATTCTCAAGGTGTGGATTTATTTGTGATCTTACAAATGTACTCACCATTTTGCATAAATAATTAAGATACTGAAAAAAGTCCCACAGACAACTTTGTGAATTATCTCCAATGTATTTTGTTGTTACAGGTCAAGACGTGAGCCAGAGAGTGCCTTCAATGTCAAAAAATGTACCACTTGGTTTCAAGAGTATACAGGTATGAACCCAAATCTGACAATACATACCTGTAATTGATTACTTCCTACATTGTGCAACTACTCTTCTTCTTCTTTTTTCTGAAAGTAAGTTGGAAAAGTTTTCCTTTCAAAGATTAGGAGGGTGGTGGGGTAGCCTAGTGTTCAAAGTGTTCGCTTGTCACGCCTCAGACCCGGTTTGATTCCCCACCCCACATGGGCACAATGTGTGAAGCCCATTTCAAGGCCATGATATTGCTGGAATATTGCCAAAAGCAGCGTAAAACCATACCCAATCAATCAATTCAAAGATTAGGATTTTGTTTGTTGTGACTATATTTCCTTCTCAATAACTCTGACCATTGTCGAATGAATTTGATGTTGTTTCTGTGACATTGTATTATGTTTATGTTTACAACAGGTCCAGATGAAGACAGTATTGGCCCGGAAGGCATGGAGAAATTCTGTGAAGACATTGGTGTTGAACCAGAAAATGTAGGTCACTTCACATATATATGTGTATTGTTAGTTTTAAGCTTACCTGACAGAATATGAAGTGAGCCTATGTTGTAATCTGTTTGTCCTGGTGTCAGCTTTCCAGTGTAAACAACATCTTCTCAGAAACAACTTTAACAATGTATTTGAAAATTCACGTGCTTGCTCCCACCAATAATGGTGTCTTAATTTCCAATATGGCTGCCATGGCCTGACATTGTACCTTGACCACATGGGACTTTCCTAATAAAATTAGCCACAAATATCTTGTCTAGATTCAGTTATGTTCTACTTGCTATAATCTTGTTGGAATATTGTGTAGTGTTGTGTAATTGATAAAAGTGTTTTAGAGAATGTTGTCTTATTGACAACTGTAATACTAGTGCTTTCTTGCAGACACGACTTATACGATAGTTTCATCTGGTGGTCAGGCTCGCTGACTTGGTTGACACGTCATCGTATCCCATTTACATAGATCAATGAACATTCTGTTGATCACTGGATTGTCTTGTCCAGACTCAATTATTTACTGACTGCCACCATATTGCTAGAATATGGCTAAGTGTGGCGTAAAACTAAACTCACTCACTCACTCACTATATGATAGTTTTATCATAATTGGATCTATATTATGAGATTGATGTTCATTTCCACCTAAATACTCTGATCATTTTCTAAAATATATGTACAACTCAACATGTGATAGAGATGCAGAAGTCTGAAGACCCAGTGGCGGATCCAGATGGGGGTTCAGGGGGTTCAAACCTCCCCTTTTGAAAATGACTAAAGGGGCACATTGAAGTTAATGTTTTGCAATGGCAGAGCTGAAACCAAACCACCCCCAACCCCTTGAAAATATCTGGATCCGCCTATGAGACCCTCTGGCAAATGGCATCCAATTTATTACCACTTTAAATGATAATTGCTTAATTAACATGGTATTGTTTCAAGAAATAGTAAAGTGATTATTGTGTGTTATTTTCCAGATTGTGATGCTGTCTCTAGCCTGGAAACTTCAGGCTAAGAATATGGGTTTCTTTACCTTAGAAGAATGGCTGCAGGGAATGACATCATTACAGTGAGTGGCACGGTCATGACGTTACTTCTCATAGCATCACCATCAGTTTGAATGTTGGATATACAGAGTTTGTTCAGTGTGGCCAGTTGTCTTTGGTGTCGACCACCTTGGAACATACATTGATATGGCAAGGAATGTATTCACTGACAGATTCTGTGAGGCTACGGTCAGAAATTGTCAACAGTATCTGTCATAGAAACTGGGGCGGGGGTAGCCTAGTCGTTAAAGCGTAGGCTCGTTAAAGTGTAGGCTCGTCACGCCAAAGACCCAGGTTCGAATCCCCACGTGGGCACAATGTGTGAAGCCCATTTCTGGTGTCCCCCATCATAATATTGATGGAATATTGATAAAAGCGGCATAAAAAACTAAACTCAGTCAGTCAGTCAGTCAGTCAGTCAGTCAGTCATAAAACTTGGGTGGTGTTACAAAGCAACCTACTGTGGCGACTGTTGTAATTCTATGTTAAGTTATGGGAGTTGCAATCATCTTTAAAAGATTGCTTTGTATAACGGCACCTTGGTAAAGTGTGATTGGTTGATCAGACTCTATGACCTGGCTGGCAGCATCATAAACCGTGTGACTCAGATCGTTGCTCTTACAACCTACATGCTACCTTGATGTAGCTGGAGTATTGCTGATTGCAGTTATTTTTCCTTATCCTGACTCATGCTCTTTTGCTTGTCTTCTTCTTCTTTGGGTAACATAGTGGAACACTTGTATCTCCCTAATTGAAGCTCCCTTCAATTTAAAATCACTAATTAGTATTCACCACGAAGTTACCTCCTTTAGTATTCACAACCGCTGAACGAGGGTTTCACCTCTACCCATGTGCCTCACTCTTCCTTCTTCACCAGTGAGCTGGACGAGAGCTTCTGTGTCTCCTAACACACTATATCCTTTGAAATATATTTAGTTAGTTACCCTCAGATAGACATCTATAGAGGTTTAGCTAGTATCCTTCAACGCATTATATATTGATATTTAGTCGCTTTTCTTACAGTTTATTCAATGGACCGTGGTTTGTTTCCAGTGGATTACGCTGATGAAAATTCTGTACTATTGCAGATTACGCTTTTTATGCTGCTGCTGATCCGCTTTAATATGATGTAACGGCCATGTTTATTATATTCACATTGCAGTTGCGTACTAATTTATCCAATTCTACCTTTTATTAATATTTACTTTGGCGCTTGGCACGCACAGCAGATAGGTCGCGATGCAGACTCTAGTATGACTGATACACCGGAACCCTCGCCAGTCTACTGCTGTTGGTCGACTCTCCCGTGGTGGTGTTCCGCTAGAGTGGTGGAGAGGTGTGGGACGAGTCCGCCATCTCCAAGAAGCATCCTGCTTCCCAGACATCCCATCGCCGCAGCAGAAGACTAGAGGGTTTTTCTACCACATCTCAACAGCCGAGACCGCTCCCATCGCAGTTTGGGCCTGTTTGATGATCAGCCGGTCATCATACCAGATGTACATCAAAGATTGACCGATGTCGGCTCAGATCAGCATGCAGCCTGATGTACCAACGCGAGATATGCGATGATCGCCCTGAGGGTCCCATCATTACCAACACTCAACGCAGACGCCGCGACACCCAGGGCAGCGCCGAACCTCTGAGGGAAAATCAACGGTCTACTAGGACTTTCAACCGAGATTGTTCCAGCCGATGACCTGACCTCTACGATGATCAGCTGATCATCATCCCCGACGACGCCACAAGAAACGACCGGTGATAGCTACAACGACATCAGCAGAGATCACCATGCAGCCTGATGCCTCTACACTGATGTCGGACGATTTTTCCGTGGACCCTCCATTAACACCGCAGATAAAGCACCGACGAACTCGCCGCAGACCATCCCAGAAGACATGATGCGACAAATTATGAACATCATGGAGGACCACTATATCTCGCGGTAGCAGGGTCCGAAGTTTCGCTCAAGGCTCCAACGTAGACAGCACCCCAGAGGCACCCCCGCCAACGTAGCAGCCAGGACGATGTCACCTTCGCTGAAGGAAGTCACGGACCACCTTGACGGCGACCTAGATGTACAGCTCTTCGCAAGGCCTTCGCAAGGCGGAAAGGACCTAGATGTACAGCCTTCGAAGGCGAAAGAACCTAGATGTACAGCCTTCGCTAAGGACTTCGCTAAGGCAGGATAGATCATCACCTTATGCGGTTTCATCCCTAGATGTGGACTCGACCATCAGACATCACGGAAGCCTTCGCTGAAGGTCATATCGCGCTCCTCGACCGACGCAGAGGAAGCTTCGCAAGGCATGCCAAGGACACCTGAATCCAGATCATCATCATCTAGAAGGACATCGAGGGACTATACAAGAGCTTCGCTAAACTATCAACGCTCCTCTCACAAGTCTCCTCGAAGATCAACCCATAGACAAGTTGATCATCGATATCAAGTATAAGAACTACAATCGTCGATATTGGTTCTGTTGAATCCATGACGAGACGATGTTCGCTGGCCTAAATAGATCTAGAACGATCAATTAGACACTTATCACCAGACTTCAGAACACCCACTTCTGAATATGATAAGATGATCCATGCGTCCCTATTTTAGGCAAGCGCCACGATCCCACATCCTGTTAAACACAGAGGCTGTTCACGGCAAGCCATATATATATTTATATATATATATATATATACTAATCGGGTTTTGACTCGACACCTTCGCTGATGGTCGCTAAGGCTAAGTGGCTCCAAGTCTACTTCACCCAGAAGATCTAGAAGGGATACTTCGAGAACTTCGCTAAGTCTCCGGGCGCTCACCGAGGAAGTCTCCTCCAAGGTTTCCATATACTAGCCACTGGCCATATATAGCTACTCGCCAGTCCGTTTCAAGACGCCGCATAAGTTGATTATCAACTGTATGCCAGATGCAGCTATAAGCTTCTACGCTAAGATAATTGCTCAGGCTATTTACAACACAGAACGCCGCTGTATTATTAGTCAACGACATTTCATAGATCTTCACAGAAATCAACTATTCCGTGATAAATTGCTAATATACAACTCGGACGACGATACGATTATCTACATGCTGACCATTACGCATATCTGCAGACAATTCAATATCGAAATTGAACAGCAGCCTTGTTACAGCGAAAGTATAACTCTTAATCGCCAAAGTTTCTGAGAAGAAATATGTACAACAAGTTCAACGCTAATTCTACAATTATGACGCATACATTCATGTATACAGTCTACAAGCTCACAACTTGCAAGTTGTTTATACCCCTTATATATAAGGAAGTCGGAATTATATTCAAAACTGAAATTACTTTCACGACAACCAGGAAAATAACCTACCCAGCATAAAATTACAGAGCCAGATATTTCATACCGAGGTTTCGCAAGGATTACCATTAACCCTCAAACACGTGGTCACCGGATAACTTCGAAGCTACGTGAAGACCGACGCTTATGCTAATATCAACGCATTTACAAGAATTTATTCAAGGTGGGTTTTTTCCCGCTACACCGTGACATCACAGCTGGTATTATACAGAATCAAAATGCCTTGTTCTGATTGGACCGCTGAGGGACAACGAATCTACACAGAGGTCGATCTCAATTCACAGTTCAAGACTTACGCCACAAGTGACAACTATATATCAGTGAACGAAAGCAAGCCTCATTACAGTCCAGTTAACCTGAACATTCATGATTAGACTGCCTTCTTCAGTTAGAGACCTCCCCTGTCAAGTTAAGACGAGGGATCGGGCAGTCAGGCGATTTTACATAAAGTTCAACGAGGACAGACACACCTGGTTGTGCACCTACATCGCCAAGGACTTCGCAGCTTAATTACCTAGACGAAGATACAAGTGGATCTAAATCCACAGCGCTTCAGACTACAGCTGAATTTCATCATCGTTTAATTAACACAACTAGATGGTTAGTAAACCTACTAAACTTCTGTTTGGAGAATAAAACGGAAATTTCACGCCCAACCTGGGATATGAATATAGTGTTCCAACACCTCACAAGTGAGGTTTATGAACACGCTTGATGACATACTTGGACCCCATGATACGATGATTCTATCAAGTTGGCCAGCAAGAGCACTGTAAATTTATCTCCACCAAACCAAACAGGAAAAAAAAAATGCAACAGATTATTTCCTCTATCATCAACTTACGCAGAGTGAAGTCTCATGTACTATATCTCCATTTGGATCAGAACTGTCATACTACTGCATATGCGGATGGACCTATTCGACCCTCCATGAGCTTAATACTCATGATATTATAGCTTAACTTCTACAATTGTTCTACACAAATGTGATTGAAATAATGGAGGGTTATTTCTGAACTGATATGGTGGTTGCAAACCATTATCTGAGAGATATCACCACCGAGGACGCCTCAGGTATACACCAATTCGATCCCATGGTCCTCAGACAACAGCTGACAGTTCTCGAGAAGATAAGTCAATCTAACAGATTTTACTTATCTTATAACAATACTAAATAGCTTCATGCTATGTATAATTTACTTAAGTTCCTTTTATCATCACAGTACTATGATTATTACATCATACAATATATAAGTTAACAACTCTACAGAGTTTGTTATTATATATATTTACCTTAAGTTATTCATATCTTAAGAGTAATACTATGGTTACATGATAAATGCATTAGCCAACAAACTCTACAGAGTTTTGGTTATTTTATACATAGCTTAAGTTAATTAAGCTTAACAAACTCTACGGAGTTTTACTATTATATAGGTAACTTAAGCTAATTATACCTTAAGCATAGTACTATACTCATATTATTAAAATATATTGGCTAACAAACTCTAAGGAGTTTTGCTATTATATAGGTAGCTTAAGCTTATTCATATCTTAAGCTTAGTACTATGTTTATATCATATAAGTAGATTAGCTAACAAACTCTAAAGAGTTTTTGCTATTTGGCTTAAGTATCATCATATTTCTAAGCAATATGGTTATATTATAACATGTATTAGCTAACAAACTCTACAGAGTTTTAGCTATTATATATGTAACTTAAGCTTATTCATATCTTAAGCCAGTACTATGTTTATATCATATAGGTATATTAGCTATCAAAACTCTAAAAGAGGGTTTTGCTATTATATATTTAAGCTTTAAGTTTCATCATATTTTAAGCTTTATGGTTACATTATAACATGTATTAGCTAACAAACTCTACGGAGTTCTTGCTATTATATATGTAGCTTAAGTTTTCCTTCATAAGCTCAATACTAGGTTTATATCATAGCTAACAAACTCTAAAGGGTTGTTTTCGCTTATTATACAATTAGCTTAAGTTTCATCATATCTTAAGCAGTATGTTTACACATTATAAAGCAGATTAGCTAACAAACTCGACGGAGTTTTGTTATTATATATATATAGCTTAAGTTTCATCATAACTTAAGCTCAGTACTATGTTTTTAACATAAAAGTATATTAGTTAATAAACTCTAAGGAGTTTATTTTGCTATATACTTTTAGCTTAAGTCTAATCTTATCTTAAGCTTAGTACTATGGTTACACTATAAACATATTAGCTAATAAACTCTACAGAGTTTTTGGCTATTATATATGTAGCTTAAGTTAATAATATCTTAAGCACAATACTATACTCATATTGTAAAATATATTAGCTAACAAACTCTACGGAGTTTTGCTATTATATATGTAGCTTAAGTTCATTATATCTTAAGCACACTACTATACTCATATTGTAAAATATATTAGCTAACAAACTCTCACGGAGTTTTGCTATTATATATGTAGCTTAAGTTAATTATATCTTAAGCACACTACTATACTCATATTGTAAAAATATATTAGCTAACAAAACCCTACAGAGTTTTGCTATATATATGTAGCTTAAGTTAATTATATCTTAAGCTCAGTACTATACTAATATTATAAATATATATTAGCTAACAAACTCTACAGAGTTTGGCTATTATATATGTAGCTTAAGTTAATTATAGCTTAAGCACAGTACTATACTCATATTATAAAAATATATTAGCTAACAAACTCTACAGAGTTTGGCTATTATATATGTAGCTTAAGTTAATTATAGCTTAAGCACAGTACTATACTCATATTATAAAAATATATTAGCTAACAAACTCTACAGAGTTTTTGCTATTATATATGTAGCTAAAGCTTATTCATATCTTAAGCTCAGCATTATATCTATATCATATAAGTATATTAACTAACAAACTCTAAAGAGTTTGCTATTATATAATTAGCTTAAGTTTAATCATATCTTAAGCTTAGTACTATGTTATATCTTAAAGTATTTTAGCTAACAAACTCTAAGGAGTTTATACTAGCATATTAACAAGCTTAAGTCTATTAGTCTTAAGCATTGTATTAATGTTATATATACTTTATCATAATAAGTACATGGTAATAACCTTTTATATGGCAGCTGATAAGTTAGCAGCAGGAATTCATCAGTTCAGTGCCTTTATGAAGTTCCCATAGGGTTATTACAATCATCACAGTTCAAATCACTAATTATTAAAAATCCAAAAGTATTAGATATTCCCACCTCCGCCTCAGAGGATGCTACAAGCAAAAGAGCATGAGTCAGGATAAGGAAAAATATGTAATTTTTGGAGTAAAATTGATATTTTATACTTATCCTGACTCATGAGGTCAGCCCTCCCATCCTCCCCAAATAACACTTTGGATTTCCCTGTAAATTCAAATGTTGGGCTCAGTATATGAGGAGAGAGTGAGGCACATGGGTAGAGGTGGCGCCCTCGTTCCCGCGCTTGTGGAAAGGAGGTAACTCGTGGTGAATACTAATTAGTGATTTTAAATTGAAGGGAGCTTCAATTAGGGAGATACAAGTGTTCCACTATGTTCGCAAGAAGAAGAAGACAAGCAAAAAGAGCATGAGTCAGGATAAGTATAAAATATCAATTTTACTCCAAAAATTACATTTTGTTGACTAAGATTTGGAATGGGACATGCCACATCGACTTATTTTCCATTGTTTTACCTGTCTGTGATTCAGTATAATAAGGAATCAATCTTTCATTTAACAAGCATTTTATCAGCTACATTTTTTTACAGGTGTGACAGTATTCAAAAGGTGCAACAGAAACTCGACTACCTCAAGTCTCTTCTGGATGATGCTGTACATTTCAAGAATATCTACCGCTTTGCATTTGACTTTGCCAGGGTATGTCTACTCAATAATATTACTGGAGGGTAGTGTCTTGTATAGGAAGCAAAAAAATAATGAATAAAAAAAGAATTGATGAGGGTTGTACAGGTATACAACAACTTTCAGTACCGAATGTTATATGCTACCTGCTGTGACATACGTAACCATGGTAACTGATTACTTGATTTTAATGGCAAATTCATCCAGGTCAGGGAGGATGATATATTGGATTATAATATATTATTTTGTTAATATTAATGATAAATAATTATTGCTTGTTGAAGTGAATCTGGTAAAACACTTACCGGTAACCAGGTAAAGGTAACACACTGAAAATGCAAATTCTGAAGCTGGAAGTTGCCAGGGTGGCTTGCCTTGTCTTCTAACCTGTCTGCAGCACTACAATTCACTGGTCAAACTGCTACAATTAAGTGTACCTGGAACTTGTCATGGAGGGTTTGAATGCAGGTTTTTCCAAGTATGTTTCTAGGTTTGTCATCAACAACCTATGCTCTTGGATTTTGATAAGTAGTAACCGTCAGAGACTGATTCATGTCAGGTTTACTTCAACATTAAACTGACAGGCAGACATAACTGGAAAACTTTCAAATGTGTGTTCAACCAAACACATACTCATGTGTGTTCAACCAAACACATACTCACTTAAGTAAAATCAAACATGGTTTTCACAAGGAAAGATGTTGTTTATGTGTTCAGTGGGGCTGATACAGCCATCCAGAAATACATTTACATTCGGGATCAATGTGTAGGGGAAAACTGAAGCTTTAGTCTGGAACACTAAGTACAGGTAATATGAAGCATGTCCTAATCACTGCTTCATGTCTTGTAGGAAAAAGATCAGAGAAGTATGGACATCGAGACAGCCAAGGCAATGTTGTCTCTGCTCCTCGGAAAAAACTGGTGTTTGTACGGGTCCTTTCACCAGTTTCTTGAGGTATGATGATGATTGATGATGATGTGTCTCCTACCAGGTTTTTATCTACACTTACCCTTTTTTCTAGTTTGTCAGGTTTTAGTGGCTACAGAGCACTGACTGACGCTTGGATCTATTTTTGGCTGGGTCGGGTGGGAGAGTCATATATGTCTTCTGTATCTAGATGACATTTTACATAATGGAGGTTATGTGGGTGACTGAGCTGGCAACACTGTATAAAGTCACATACAAGTTTAGCTGCAAATTTTATCACAAATATGAGTTATTAACATAAACTGTGAAACTGAACCTATTCTGAACACGTTTGTGGATTGAGATGTTCCAGCTTCTTGTTGTAATCCTTGTCTTTGCCTGAAAGTAATGTGCTGCTATTTGTTTCAGCAATCCAAGTACAAAGTGATTAATAAGGACCAATGGTGTAACATTCTTGAGTTCAGCAGGTCCATAGCTCCAGATCTCGCCAACTATGACGAAGATGGGGCATGTGAGTTACAATCTAAACGTTCAACTTTTCAAACATTATTAGGTTGTTTAGGACAGAGAGGACACCATGACAGGACAGACATAGCTTGATTGAGGACCTAATATGTGGTTTGGATATATAGCATGTTTCCTGAGATGTCATTAATGATAATGTGATGATGATGATGATGATGTCTCAAAACTTGCCTTAAGAGAAAAGAATGATCAAAATGTAGCTATATGAACAAGGTCAGGAACACCACAGATAACTTGTGTGGCTAAAATCCCAGGAATTCATAGCTGTCGAAAAATATCATGACCCATATACAGTCAAGCACTGTTGTGTCAAACTTTGATCACGCCGAAGACCCGGGTTCGATTCCCCACATGGGCACAATGTGTTCAGCCCATTTTCTGGTGTCCCCCGCCGTGATATTGCTGGAATATTGCTAAAAGCGGCGTAAAACTAAACTCAGTCAGTCAGTCAAACTCTGATAACTCGATATCTCGGTTGTCTCGGTCCGGGCAAAATCCTTCATAATTTATCATTATTCAAGCTCTTTTAACTCGATATGAATGTCTCGATATTTCGGATATCTTGATATAATTCCATGGTCCCAACAGGCAAAATTACCCTTTTAACTCGATATTTGCAAAGAAACTCGATATTCACTACCTTTCATAGGCAAGTATCCCTCTGAACTGAGGTTGTTTCCATACGTTTACACATGAATCAAAGGGATGCAGTAGTGTAAACTAATTAGGGCTAATTGAGTTGAAGGTGTCACTTGTTTGTTATTTAATTAGGATTGATTAAGGAGGAAGGGTAGCCTTGTGGTTAAACTGCTTGCCTTGCCAAAGGCCCATGTTCAAGCCCCACATGGGTACAATGTGTGAAGCTCATGTCTGCTGTCCCCCACTGATATTGCTGAAATATTACTAGAAGCAGTGTAAAACCCAAGTCAATCACTCACCATCCCATGGAGCAAAAGAATTCATGGGTTATAGATATATGGGTTAGGTATATGAATATTAGAGACAAATTCCTGTGCTCTGGTAAGTTTTTGTTTCGTATTGTGAAGGTGGTTCATTGTCAGACTAATCAACTTGTCTCTTTTCTTTCCAGGGCCAGTTTTACTGGATGAGTTTGTAGAATGGCTTCGTGAACAAAACAAGATGTCAAGTTGAGGTTGGATGGCTTCGGTCAAGAGTGCTAGATGTGTCATCGACAGATGTTTTACACTGATTTGACAATATGTGGAGAAACATAAACTTGTGTGTCGGGTCTCCATGGCAACGGATGAATGTTTGCAGATGTGTTTGTCTTTCACTTGCCACCACAGTTGGTCAATGAAGCAATGCAATCCTTTGGTCATGTGACCTGCTGCCAGGCATTACGAACATGATCTTGCCCGCAGTGTGATTATGACTGTCGGGTCACCCCATCCAGCTACTTGTGCTTTATTCCATGTCTTGTAACCATGGCAACGGTGCTGTTGTTACAGGTTGTCCATGTTCCTGGGAGACTCGTACTGAGCAATCACTCTGTTGATATTAACATGATCTGGTAAGGGGTGGGGTAGGGTTGGGTGGGATGGGGTTTGGGGCAAGAGAGTGAAAGTTATTTTATCACTGGTACCAATGCCAGTGAATAGGAGCATAAGATTTCTTAAACCATACATGTTATTTACAACTTTTATTGTAAATGTTCAAGGTTTAATAAGTACAAAATCACACCAAACTTGTTTCTTGTTGTTTGCAATGCTGTCTGTGATGGAATGGCTGATGATCTTATGACACATACCGTTTTATGGAAAACATTTAACACATATACAGCAAAACGTACAAGTGTCAGATGAAACACATGGAAGGTCAAGGTGTGACTTGGTTCCCAACACTTGACTGCTTTTCGTAAGAGCCTGCAAATTAGTGTTGAGTAACCTGATCATTGTTCATGCAGCACTCTACCCGTGAAGGTCCAGGTTAGAATATTGATCTTCAGTAACCCATGCTTGTCGTAAGAGGCAACTAACGGGATCTGGTAGTCAGGCTCGCTGGCTTGGTTAACACATGTCATCGGTTCCCAATTGTGCAGGTCGATGCTCATGCTGTTGATCACTGGATTGTCTAGTCCAGACTTGATTATTTACAGACCGCCGCCATCTAGCTGGAATATTGCTGAGTGCGGCATAAACTAAACTCACTCACTCATGCAGCGCATGTAAGTATTCCAACTATATTTTCGTCAGTGCTTAAAACAAAATCGCATCAGGGAAAGGTAACAAGATAATCCAGTGATTGACATCATGAGCATTGATGACCATGGATGCATGCATCAACCAAGCCAGGGAACCTAACCACCTGATCCTGATGACAAGGGTGGTATGGCGGAGACTAATTCCAACACAGATCTTCACAGGGATTTGATTGATCTGGTTACCTCAGTGCTCGTAATATTGAAGGGAGTTGGGGTAGTCTAATGGTTACAGCAATCACTCATCATGCTGAATACCCAGGTTTGATTCCCTACAGGAGTATGATGTGTAAAGCCCATTTCTGTTGTCCCTGTAAAATATTTCTATAAACAGTGTAAAACCAGGCAACTCACTCACTCATAATATTGAAGATGGTGCTGTCTGATTTGTTTAACCCAGATTAAATATTTATAGCTGCCATGTTATTGCTGGAACATTGCTGACAGCAGCAGAATAAAACACCAAAACAAAATCGAACGAAATATTTGACATTTTGTTTTGTTGCTAACGTTACAATCATACAAATATTGAAAACAGTGAAATAATGCCAGAAAAGAAATGCTGCTGCCCAAGTATCCCTCGGTGAAGATAACGATATGGTTAAATTATCTTGATGAATGAATAATGAAACTCAGCTTATGACTGACAGTTTTATTGAAACACAAATTACACATGTAAAGGTTGATCAGGATGAACACTTCATATGTACAGATGAGCTATCTACAGTGTACTCCCAGTCTTGTCTCCCAGAATGAATTCAGCTGCCAGTGTATGAATCACATCAGTCCTTGTAGTCTATTTACAGTATCTATCTGCCTTCATTTTCTCTCGTCTGAAAAATTGTCAGAAAAAAAGGTTCGTATACAATGGTGAGAAAGAAAAGATACAGAAGAACCTCGTCGAAATCGAAGAGGCATGGAGTTCAACACATGTTATTTGGAATGGCAGTATCTGATCCATACCCCTAGTTAAGCTGGGTTCTTTACTATTACAATAATCAGCCATGTTTTCTGTGTTCGATATTTCAAAATTGTATTTGAAGCAAAAAAGGGTATTTGACGTATCTGTGTTCAGTCAACCTGGGTATTTGATGTGTCTGGGTTTGACCCAATCAGATATTTGATACATGTAAGTTTGACTCAATGGTGAAAGAAAAGAGTGATATGTTGTCTCAATTCAGAATTCAAGATTTGTGATGATGAAAAACGTCATGGTTCTAAGCAGTGTGGCAATACTATATTAAATCACTGTTGATTTTTAACACCAAGAGATAATAATCTCATTACATTTTTGACAAACATTCGGTTCAATACTATAATTGTAAGTTAACATGGTTTTGTTACCATGGTTACAATGTGGACATACCACTGGAAATGTGAACATTCAGAACTTGGTACAAAGTATGGCTGCTAGATTTTCAAAACTCCGAAGCAAACGGAACAAAGAAAAATGAAACTCTGCAACTCTTTGAATCTGCCAGTACCATTGTTTGAGTGCATGTTAATGCACCTACATGAGTGAATAAACATTCCTTGCAATAATAAGTCATATCACAGACCCATTTTAGAAACCAACCCCAGGTTAGAGTGACGAGCCAACACGACAGCAGTTACTGCAATGTAATACAACCCACCTATCCAGCATAGCCTCGTGCAGGGTTCCATCTTGTCTGGCTGTCTTCAGTGCTGTGGTACTCTCTCCTGTCACTCTCAGGCGCCGGTCCTGGAAACTCTGGAACTTCTTCCTGAATTAAGGATAAAAATTTCATCTCTGTTGTGATATTAATGCAGCCCAGTTCCAGTAAATAAACAAATGTAAGTTTTGTCTGTTCAAATTTCAGTTGGTCTGTTGCATCATCAAAAACTTGATGACTGCCCTGTTATTGGGCAGGTTAAATATGGCTTTAATCGTTTTAACACCACAATGTGAAGTAAATCAGCCTGTAGGAACTGTAAATCACTGTGAATAATCAAGTCAGGACCAGACCAAATCAATGGTTATTATTATAAACATCATCCAGTGTTATATGGGTGGAAAGACACACCACAAAGACCCTCAAATGACCACCAAAATCAATGATACCTTTGATGACAAGCATAGGATCAAATACATGGATAGTATTCTGATGCCAAAGAGCCTTTAAGAAGTTTGTAGCTGTGTATACCCAGATTTTAAAAGCCATCTGCTAGAAAGTTCTTAATCAGTGTTACCTATCTGTCCTTATCAATAGTCACACAAGTGAAAAGTAGAAAAGCAAAGTTCACAGTATGGTGATGCAAACATGAACAGATATGCATTAAGGGGAGATAACTCCAATAGGTCAAGCACACTGCACATGGATACTCACACATAGTTGACCTCAGAGTCCTTGAGTGAACCTCGCTCCTCCTTTGGAACATTACCAAGTGGGTCTTCCTCGCTCTCTGCACAAGATCGGATCTGAATTGAGATGTATATACAGCTTCCAATCATGTTCCCCATATAATCTAAACACATACATAGTATATTTATCACAGCACAATCTAACTGCCTTGGTGGTCAAGTGGAAGGTGTACTTCTGCCAAGAGAGTGGAAGACCGGTCCCCTGGTTAAGTCACACCTTAAACACCTTTCTACTGTTACATGGACTCGTGCTCAGCATTAAGGTAATAAAGCATGGACAGATCGGCTTGGAGTCGATATAATGTGTCTGACTGGAGTGACAAGTTATCACAGTTGGCAAGCACAATGAAACAGACATACATACAGACTAAAGTACTGTCGGAAATGCTGGAAAAATGCTTTTTTGACTTTTTGACTGCTTGTGTTATGTCATCAGCATGCACGGTATCGACAGGTGAAATTGACACCTGAGCACAAGCTCGGGTGAGGGGTCATCTCAATAAATCTTTTGCTTCATAATGCTGAATATGTGTACGTATAGTATACGTATTGGTTATGTAAGGGATCATGTGTGTCCACATTTCGCACACCAATAACACCTATATATATATATATATATATGTGTGTGTGTGTGTGTGTTTTGAAATAACATACGAATTATTGTGCATGAGAAAGAATCCCATCACTTGTGTTGTTTTATCGATTGATTGTAGAAATGTAAAACGTTTTAATAAATGTTTTGCATGTCATTAGTATATTTCTTTGCAAAAAATATGGATGTAATTCGGTCAATTTAATCCAGTTGTGAACATTGGCCAAAGATTTAACGAAGTCACTGGTATAGCTTCCCAGGTTTGCTTTTGAGACTGTCCATGTCTTGTCTGATTTGTTTACAGTATTGTAAACTTATTGGTAAGACATACCAACAGCTCTACAAGTTCTGTAATAAACCCTTTCTAAACTACTGAAAGGTTTACCTCTGTCTTTCTCAAGCACAAAAAATTATAAACCTTTGCAACAACCGACTGCAAATAGTTGACCATAGTGAACGGTGTGATAAAGATGTGTATGCATGACGGAAACTTATTTATTAAGGCTTAACATTTATATTAATTTTTCTTCAATGAAGAAACAATAATTAAGTCAAGTAACACAAACATTCAACATTTATTTGTTAAAGAAAACCGTTAATTTATATTTTTTTTGCACTACCTGTATAATTAGCATAAATGTAAAGACTATTTCAGATTTCTCATGTTAAACTCTGAAAAAATCTTGAGTTGTTGTTTTGGTACCAATTTCTCTCCTGTAAACTGCCCTTTAAATGCATGGAAATGTTAAGTCGATTGAAATAAAAATTAGGTACACCATAGGCAAGTTGATATATTGACAACATAGTACATTTATCACCTTTATCAAAGTATGAAGGTCAAAAAGCATTTTTCTAGCATTTCCGACAGTACTTTAGAACAAAACTGGGGTAGTGTAAATTGAAACTGGCATATGATTAGACAAGGACAAAATTGGTGTACAGTATATATTACCTTTTGTTCTCTTAGTATGAGTGATCGAATGAGTGAGTAAGGATTTGTGCCACTTCTAACAATATCTCAACAATATCACAAGGGACACCACAAATGGGCTTGCCACATTGTACCCAAGTGGGGAATTGAACCCAGGTGTTCAGTGTGATGAGCAAACACTTTAACCACTAGGCTGCACAACCACTTCCCAGTGGCCAGAGACTACATACAGTACATCCAATCCATTATCATCATTGGTTCAAATATTACGGGTTAATATAAACTTCCTGAAAATCCAGCATGTTAATAGGTGAGGTGAGGTGAAATTGGGTTTAACGTCGTGCTTGAGAATATTTCGCTCATATGACGACGTGCATGCGTGTGTTTGTGTATGCGGCTGCTTGTACTAGCCCAGACTGAAGCTGGTTTTATAGTGCTAGCACACTGAGATACCATACCGCAGTGAAGCATGAATACCCCACTCAGACACATTATACTGACTCCGAGCCGACCAGTCCTTGTTGTACCCATTAATGCGAGCGCCAGGCAGGGACCAACAAGTACCATATTTTAAAGTCTTTTGGTATGACGCGGTTGGGGATCGAACCCGCGACCTTCCGCTCTCCAGGCGGACGCTCTAACCACTACACCACGGAGGCGGTCCAGCATGTTGATCTGCATACCATAATGTAGTATGCTTATATCTATTCCAATGAAACTACAAACACAACGTTTTTCACATGATAAATAGTTTGAGTTCTGATCTACCAAATCAGTATGTTCTAGTGAAGCTTATTCTCTAACCTTGATCATCTCATCTGGCCCTGCCTTGCGACTCTCGCACATTATTGCACCATCCTCATTGGCTGACAGAAAGCAGCCATTGAAACCATTGAGGGCCATTTTACCCTGAAAACCGACATCATGAATATCACATCTTTACAAATCAAACAGGTTCACCGTTATCAAACGTGCACTTGAATTGAAACATTTCATAAAAAGTGTTTTCTTCAGTAATGTCATGGTGTGGGAAAAGACTCTCACCTTCAGATATCTAATCCCTAAGTTATGTCAAAGGAAGGTGACATAACATGTAAAACTAAGGTGATGAAGGTTATTTATCACGACAGGATTTATATTTGAGGGAATGGATAATCAAGGATGCCTCAGAATATGTCTATTTCAGTCTTATCATAGCACAGTTCATGTCGAGTAATAAGGACTAAATAATGGAAATAGATGGAATCCTTGATAGATACATTTGGACGTTCACTATTTTTCAAGTGACTGATGCATCATTATCAAAACTCAAAGCCACAGGCATCACAACAAAGGCAGTTTCAAACATGATGACGAATTATCTTGAGATAGATGAAAATGGGAAACACAACAGAGCAGATGTACCATATACCATCATTGCATTTTCAGGTGCATAACTACATAAGGCAGCTGAACAGATATAATTATTATTGCAGATACTAAACATTTATTAACTAAGTGCAAGTTACAAATATCCTACAAGTAAGGGTCCTGGGCCTAGATTTTCAAAGCTCTCTTAGCGCTAAGATAGTCGTAAGTGCCATACAATAACATTAACTTACGACTATCTTAGCGGTAAGAGAGCTTCGAAAATCTAGGCCCTGTTCCACAAAGCTATCATAGTGTAAGGCTTGTCGTAAGTCTACAGCTGGTACGATTACTCAGGCCTACGATTGCTTTGTGGGGCGGGCCCCAGAACTCAAGCTGAAACATGTCAGATACAGACAAACCATCACCTCCCCACCCACAAATCTCACCTCTTGGAAAACAGGTTCCCACTGTTCTCTGCTCCCGATGGCATCTGACTTCCCAACCACCCGACCTTCTGGGTCAATGCTGAGATACTTCCCATAGCCTGATTTAAGGGCAATCTTTGACTCCCCCACAGTAATGGCTGTCAGAATCTCTGTGACGTCTGGAGCATCCCCTGAAGACAGAGAGAAGGGACACACCACATAAACATAGCTAATGATGTTGTTTGTTGTTTAACGCCACACTCTGCCATATTTCAGCTATATGAAACCAGTGTGTATATAGTCCAGTCTGGACCAGATAATCCTGTGATTGATATCATGAGAATCTATCTACTCAAAAGCCAACTTCTTATGGCCCAATGCAGGGACAGTGACAATGTCCAGACCCTAACTGTCTTTACTTGAGTGCATAGGTTCTTACATAAGTATTTCTATCACTGTAACATGAAGAAATGCTGCATAAAATGGGGTCAGCGCCATAGGCCCTTGTGTCTTTGCGAGGATTAAAGATTTTAAAAAATATATATAAAAATCTGAGATGACCCCAGACTCGAAATGCTTCCCAGTACAATACATCATGATGTATTTTACTGTGAAGCATTTAGAGTGGGGGGTCATCTCAAAAGCAATATATTTTAAATCTTTAATCCTTGCAAAGACACAAGGGCCTGTGGTCAGCGCAGGGGCAATGGCAAGCTAAATATACTCTATTTGGGATTACACTTTCTTAGTAAAGTACAGATTCTAGTACTTTTGGGGGTTGAGTCCCATCGGGATTCGAACCCACACCCTCAGAGTCAGGCACCTAATCGCCAGCACACAAAGTCAGACGCCTAGACCGCTCAGCCACCACAGCTTCCACAAAAATGGAAGTCGGACAACTGGTAGTCTAGACTGCGGACTTTGTGTACCCCTCTGATGAGTGTTAATCGGCATGGCTCCCACGGCCGAAAGCTATGAAATACACAATGCCATTTTAGAAAGTGGTCAATGTAATATATGTTATATTTGGGATTACACTTTCTCAGTAAGTACAGATTCTAGTACTTTTGGGGGTTGAGTCCCATCCGGGATTCGAACCCACACCCTCAGAGTCAGGCACCTAATCGCCAGCACACAAAGTCAGACACCTAGACCGCTCAGCCACCGCGGCTTCCACAAAAATGGAAGTCGGACAACTGGTAGTCTAGACTGCGGACTTTGTGTACCCCTCTGATAAGTGTTAATCGGCATGGCTCCCCATGGCGAAAGCTATGAAATACACAATGCCATTTTAGAAAGTGGTCAATGTAACATATGTTACATTTGGGATTACACTTTCTCAGTAAAGTACAGATTCTAGTACTTTTTGGTTGACTCCCATCCGGGATTCGAACCCACACCCTCAGAGTCAGGCACCTTATCGCCAGCACACAAAGTCAGACACCTAGACCGCTCAGCCACCGCGGCTTCCACAAAAATGGAAGTCGGACAACTGGTAGTCTAGACTGTGGACTTTGTGTACCCCTCTGATAAGTGTTAATCGGCACGGCTCCCACGTCCGAAAGCTATGAAATACACAATGGCATTTTAGAAAGTGGTCAAATGTAACATATGTTACATTGTGGCATTGTGTATTTCATAGCTTTCGGCTGTCTGACTTTGTGTGCTGGCGATTAGGTGCGTGACTCTGAGGGTGTGGGTTCGAATCCCGGATGGGACTCAACCCAACAAAAGTACTAGAATCTTAACTTTACTGAGAAAGTGTAATCCCAAATATAACATATGTTACATTTGACCACTTTCTAAAATGGCATTGTGCATTTCATAAAAATACTCTACAGTCAAAACACAAATCTCACTGCAACCACACCCCACCAATAATAAATGGCCAGCCCCTCAATTATCAGTTTGGTGTTTTGATTAGAACAGTGAACAATAAACTGCTCAATTTGCATACAATAGCACATTAAATATTGCAATGGCACAGATGATAAATATGTTCCTAGTGGCTTGCCTAAAATTACACAAATAAAACCCATCACGATTCATTTAATGGAAAATGCAATATATGTGACCAATTCAAATTAATCCAATTGACCTCCTGATTAGGATCAGCTGAGGAACTAGAGACACATATGTATTCTGTCATGGCATTAAACATTCAGCATGTATGTCCGAGAGGGACCCATGTTTACCTGTGTCTCGGACAGGGCCGAGATTCAGCCTTCCATTGTCAAGGGCATTCATGTATGTCTGCACCCCAATCTCCATAGCAATGTTTCCTGTGATTTCTTCAACTTTTTCCACAATCCACCAGCCACCTGGAAAAAACCCAATGTTTTTATTACTGAAACTAAAACCATTACAATCAACTACTGCTTCAACTATACCATGAAGTACTAAACGCATTATATACAACACTAGATATTGTTTATATAACTAAATTGACCAAGTCATGCCAACAAAAATATGTAAAAAGGCACTGAGAGACACAAACTTGTAACATGTTATATTTGAGATTACACTTTCGTTACAAAGGACATATTCTAGTGCTTTTTGGTGTGGAACCCATTCAGGATTCAAGCCCACACTCTCAGAGTAAGGCATTTAATCACCAGCACAAAGGCAGGGACCCAATCTACACAACCACTGCATTGATAGGATTGATCTTAGTTAACCTATGCTTATCGCAACAGGCGAATAACGGGGTCAGGCTTGACAAATGTCATCGTATCCCAATTGTGTAGATCAATGCTCAATCATCAATGATTGTCTGGTCAAGACTCGATTATTTACAGACAGCTGCCATATAGCTGAAATATTGCTGAGTGCGTCATTAAACAACAAACCAAACCAAAAAACACAGCCACTGGGGTTTCCCAAAAACTGAAGTCCAACATTTGGTATTCCACATCACATGCTTTTGGTATTTGTTGATAAATGTTAATCGACACAGGTCCCATGGTTCAAAGACAAATTTGTTTTAAATTGTGTACCCAAAGCTGATCATGGCAAAGTGAGTGGCTAAAGCTACCCCATACCATGACGTGCGGTGTCCTCTGTGAGTGATGGATGGACCTTCTTTCCTCCTGCACCTCCCTCCGCTCCATCAGCATGCTTCCGTTTCCTGTGTTTCTTGTGCCTAAGAAACATGGCATTCACACAGCTTAGAATATCTCAGATGATGTAATCATGCAATATTGACTTTGTTGTAGATTTTGTCAAATGTGTGAAAGTATATTTAGTTTATCTGAGAAACACAACAATCACACAGTTTAGAATAGCTAGCAAGATTAAATAATGAAATTCACTTCTTGTACAGTTCAATCTTGTGATGATAATGGAGAAGGGAGTTAAATGTAACAAACAGTTCCATGATGTTAATCCATACAAAACCCACAGAATAATTACGACTGAATAACGTCTGACAAGATCTGGTAATGTAGTTATCAGGTTACCCAAATTATTTCAGATTCTATTTAGTCATGTTTATTCATTACCAATTACCATAAGGCTCGTCAGCCTGATGGTCTGATAAAAAACACTGCAAAAAGGTTTTAAATTCTATCATTCCTGTGGATATCTGAAACAATCCTATGGAACCAGTTGTTGTAAATTACAACCACTAACGTTACATACATATCAGTACAGTCATTAGCCTTGGCAAGGCAAAAGAAGGGCTGATAGCATGATAGTACGATCACATACCATCATTTGGTTGCTCTTCGAGCACCAGTTCAACCAAAACAATAGACATTTTGTTTACGACTAAAGAAACGTTATACAACTCTAGTTAAATATTAACTAACAAAACCTGCATATACGTTTAGTCTTTTGGGGTCTGCCGAGTAGCGTGTACAAAAATGTTAATTTTGTTTGTGTTCTGTAAATGAGCGAAAAGTGAAATCGTTTGCTATACGATTCGAAATAACGTTAGAATTTAGACACATGCAAGCCCCGCTTCGCTACTCCTGGTGTCTCTTATACCAACTCACTTTTCTTTGTGACCTTTTAATTTAAGTTTTCCACCTTTAACCTTGGAGTAAGAATCAGCCATGGCAAGGGGAATGTAAATTTAGATCAGTATACGAATATGTAATGAAGAAATTTAGCTTTTAGCGTCACCAATGGACGCTGCCATGTTTCATCTCGCGTGTTCTCGTTCTGATGACAATCGGAAGTAAACAAATACCCCACGTGACTTTTGACAGGTGGCTGTAGCTTTTGTTGTTATCGTACAACAGCGTGTTTTTTGCGCTCATGAGAAGATGATGTCACTGAGAGTGGAAATTCTGACAAAGGGAATCTGAAGTTGTCATTTTATTCATCACAAATGTAAGTTGATGAACATTTATTTCATGATTTTATTCTTATTTTCAAATAATGTTTTAAATTGATTTTCCCATTCAGTATCTAACAGTAAATCGAGTTATCAGCTTGTTATACCATATCCTATATGAATTGAGCTGAGAAGTACAGCCATGGGGCATTATATACATAATATTGTAAGTAAGGTTGGAATTCAGGGAAGGTCGAATCAGGTCAGTCTTGCAATGATCTGGATATTCAAAAGGTTCATTTAAAAATGTCAGTATAAATGATCCCATATTGTTACTAAGATAAACGAACTTAATTGTGTTTTGTTTGATTTTGAAGTTCAGACATGTTGAAATGACTATAATATCATCACAGACGTAATATAAACACAAATGACAGGCGCCACAAATATTATGCATCATTAATATGAATAATAATCACAATGGATATGTGACTCAAACAACTTAGGGATATGTATGTATGTTTACATTTTTGTTTGGAATGTGTTTGAAAATAATGTGAAACAGTGATGTTGACGCTGGAATTCATATGCCGTATTGGACACACTTAGTACACTGTGCTCCTAGAAAACTGGCACTTGTTTATACCAAATACAGCCTTTTAAGTTTGTTTTCAGGGCTTGAGCATTAGAGAACAAACTTTGTTCACTGAAACTAAAATGTTTTCAGTGATATTTTGAATGAAACTATCTACACCAGCAATGTAACTGTTGTCTGTAACAAACACATGACAATATGAACTGTCACATACATTTTTGGTGATAGTAGATCATTACTCACATATTGGTCTAGAATTTAGTCAGGGATTGTCAGGGACCAAAACAGTGTTCTAATTAACTGTATAATAATTCAGACTATTTTCACAAGGGTTTAAAGGAAACATAGGAAGATTGTTTTGGGTTACAAACTGCAGATTGCATATAAAAAGAATAGGCTACCTTGTCAATTCAGACAATACACATCCAAAGAGAAACCTTGTTAATGTGGACTCTACTCAGTACAACTAATCCACACTCTACACACACTAGTACAATCTTGTTCATTTGGGTTCTACACTTTCCTTAGAATTCGAATTCAAGGAAAACAATTTTCTGATACATCAGATCATGTGAATTTGATCCTTTGTCTCTAATGTCCAGAAAGTGAGGTTTCCAGGCAAGCAAGGTTCAGACTATAAAGGTGTTAATTTTCATTAAAGACAAAGAGGTTCAATCTTCCTTGATCCTTGAAAAACATTCATATTTCTTTCCCCTCAGAAATGTAGACTTGAGACCAGAGACCAGGGTGTAGAATATTCGGTAGTTCTATTCGTTGGCTAGATTTGCAAACAATTGCCAGCAGCTGAAGGGATGGTGTAAACCCTGCTAGGGATATCATGCAGGTATCAAAGGCCACTACCATGAGTCCCCATGGTAACTAACATTATGGCCTGACTTTGATCACTGGAGATCTGAAACCCATTTTAATAATGTCTTGTTGAGTATAACAGGGGGCATTGGGTAGCCTAGTGGTTAAAGTGTTGGCTTGTCACGCCGAAGACCCGGTTTCGATTCCCCACATGGGTACAATGTGTGAAACCCATTTCTGGTGTCGTGATATTGCTGGAATATTGCTAAAAGCGGCGTAAAACTAAACTCAGTTGAGTATAACAGAGCTATAGATAAGTTTTTGGGTCATTGAGTTATGTACTCACTTGCGTTCATCTCAGTTGGGTATCCTAATTTTCATTTGAGTAACCAAATAAAATTGTACCATCCTCACTCAAACTCAACTGGGTATTTTGCCATTTTCCGTTAATTATAAAATTAATAAAGTTTAAATGTTGGTTTACGTGTTTGTTGTTTATATTTGATCTGTAATATGAGACACGATAAGAAAGACTGCAAGTTGTCAAGTTCATGTGCTGAAATAGAACCTCTCAATATACTTCAGTTATTTTATCTATTTTGTGTGTACGCATGTAAGATCAAATTTATTGAGCATTTACAAAAATTCATGTGCTTCTACGCAATAGACTTAATAGGAATTGAGTTTTCACATAAATATTTGAGTAATTTATGCAGATGCGCAGCTTATCTTTGGTATAACAATATCATTTTATGGTAATATACTAATTTTAACTATATTCTGCAATATGTCTGGTCATTCTACTGTCATTTGAAGGTATTGAATAGTATAAATGCATATCTTATGCAAAACTTTTTATAGTCACAATATGGCTGAAATTACGACTTCAAACTCTTATTCACTCACACCAAGACCAAGATTGATCATCTGTGTGGGTACAACTTGTGAAGCCCATGTTGTGTTCTGCCATGCTATACTGGAATATTGCTGACAAATCTAAATCCATATCTGTTCCTCACTCTCTATGCTCTTTCTCAGCAATTGATCATATGGATATCAGCATAGAAAATTGCTATACAAATATTTATATTCATTCAGTATATTTCTGAGAGAGAAATACATTTATAATGATGTTTGCATGTGAAGCCTATGTTCAATTGAATCTAGTTCATCTGGCTATTCAACCATCACCATTTGGTCGTATGTGATCGAGTTAATGTATTGACATTGGTTGAAAGAGCATTGATTGTTCCCCACAGGTAATCGTAAAGGTGTTACATTTGAGACGGGATTACAATAGAGCCTGAAATTTATTTCTTTACTATTGAGTATCGTATTGAATAATATTGATTGCATAATGCATGAGATACAGGGTGTATTCACTTAAGAAACTGAACCTTCTATGAGGTTTGTGGTTTCAGTGCTATTTCTTGTATAGGGTATGCCAGATTTTATGAAGATACTGGATAAGGTTTCATAAACGGTTTGTATATTTAAATATGCATGTTTATCTGCAGTGTATGAAATAAGCCGAAAATCAAAATGTTACAAGCCCAAAATGGATTTAACCAGACCAAATATGGTGAAATTACTTAGATGTATGGAACATCTAAAATTTGTACCAGACCAAATTTAGACCGTCCATCAGAAATCTAGCTCGTCTCGGGCGGTCGGACGGGCATTGTTTCATACACTGTTATCTGTTTTAATTTGAGTCAGTCAGAAATACAGTTGTGTGATCTGACATCTTGTATGTAAATTACTCAAAAGTAAAGTACACTCAGTTATTTCATAATACTGACAATATTTTCAGTGAGTTAAAATTGTCACTGTTTTCTTTTACTATTGTTTCCATTTTAAGAGATTATAGTGTTTTTATCCAGTACCCTGCTGAGTGGAAATTAAATTTATCTTGACTCACACTCATTCAGCAGTGCCGCACTCCTACCCCAAAGTTTTATTGAAATATGATTTTATATTATTATTATTATTATTATATTTTTATTTCTTATATCATTTTGTAATTTGCCATATTATTGCTACATGAATGAGCTACTTGAACAAAGACTGTTTATTCCAAGGTCCGTATATGAGACATGCTGAATTTGGTTGCTATTGAAAATTGCAATCATTCTGATTTGTGCACTTGGTCTATTGTGCTGTGTAATAAACGTTTTATGTTGATAGATACATCGTTCACATACTATATCTGCCAGAAAAACAACATGTCATCGTAGGAATGATGGTGTGCAGAAGAATTCCAAAGCCATGTTCATATATGGACGTAGGAAATCCTTACCTTATTCACCCCCTCCCAAAAATATGTGTCATGATTGACATGCAGAATATCTGATGTCATGTGAAATGCAATATCTATAGGTGCAAGTAATGACAGTTAAAATTGAATTGTCCAGTAGCATAAGTAACAAATGTGGTATTAGAAATAAGAACCAAAAACTGAAACTCATATTAGGACACTGCCCAGATTTGGTTGTATTATGTCTACAATTTTTGATAATCATTAATTTTTCTCTTACCTGTTTTAAAAGGAAAATGGCTAAGTTGAATGTTCGGTTTGTTATTATATATATTTGTCCGAAAGACTTTAATCTTGATTCAGGGGTGATCTGTAGCCTAATGGTTAAAGCGTCTGCTCATCACGCTGAAGATCAGGGTTCAATTTCCCACATGGGTCCATGGTGTCTGCCACTGTGATATTGCTGGAATATTGCTAAATGGGTGATGGGTAGCCTAATGGTTAAAGCGTCTGCTCATCAGCTGAAGATCAGGGTTGAAGATCAGGGTTCAATTTCCCACTGTGATATTGCTGGAATATTGCTAAATGGGTGTCTGCCACATGTGATATTGCTGGTAATGGTGTCTGCCATTATTGCTATAAATGGGTGATGGGTAGCCTAATGGTTAAAAAGCGCTCATCACGCTGCTCATCCACATGCTGAAGTGTCAGTGGTTCAATTGCTAAATGGGTCATGGGTGGTTAAACCTGCTCATCACTGAAGATGGTGTCTACCACTGCCACTGATATTGCTGGAATATTGCTAAAGGCAGGGTAAAACCTCACTCACTCACTCACTCATGATTATAACACCTAGTCACTCTCGGTGCCCCACACCACCCTCACATAGTTGTGATAATGCCATTTGAAGTATGAGTCATCAAATTAAAGTCACTAGACAATGCATCAACAAATTTTAAAGTTTCTTTTATGGAGACCAAGACCAAACTTGTTTGTAGATGAACCAGATATATATTTTTTAAACTGTTTTATTGAAACATGATTTTGATCATTTTCCTCAGTGTACAGGATTTGGCTTGTATTTCTTTTTAAGATCCCACATGGGTACAGTGTGTGAAGCCCATATCTGGTGTCCCCTGCCGTGATATTGCTGGAATATTGCTTAAAGCGGCGTAAAACTAACTCACTCTTTTCAAGAAAACCAACTCAAATAAGTCTTGTAT